ACATCAATCATTTTCATGGAGAGGTTATTTAAAATCTGATAAGGGTTTAGTTCTTGCATTTATCCAATCTCCAAATTAGGATGCTGTCCCAACCCAATCAAGTATACAAATAGGCCATGATTGCCATGAGATTTCAAACCCATCCTGACATGATAAGCCATAAGCAGTCATGTAGTGACCAACCCACATTTCCCTCTCCCAAGTTTTAGCAAAACAACTGGGAGCAGCTAACTGGAAACACCAGAAAACAAACCAAGACTCTTCTCCTGCAGGTTTCCTTTCCCCAGAATGGGAATGAAGTTTCTATTGGGGAATAAAGCTTTATCAATATATGTTATCCTAGTAACAGGTAGCACAGTGGCTCAGTGGTTAGCACGGCTGCCTCACAGTGCGAGGGACCTGGGTATGATTCCACTCTCGGGTGACTGTCTGTGTGGAGTTTGCACATTCTCCCCGTGTCTGTGCAGGTTTCCTCCGGGTGCTCCAGTTTCTTCCCATAGTCCAAACGTGCTAAATTGTCCATAGTGTCCATGTATGTGCAGGCTGTTTGGATGAGCTGTGGTAAATGCAGGGATAGGGTAGGGGGTTGGTCTGTGTGAGATGCTCTTCAGAGGGTTGATGTGGACTTGAGGGTCTGAATGGCATGCTTCCATACTGTGGTGATTCTATGAAAAACTTTTCTTTTATTAATCAAAACAGCAGTCTTGCTAAAGAACATCCTATGGTTTTTGAGAAAATCTAACTAAACCATAGGTTACCTTTAGGTGATGTTTTAGACTTCCACACTCAGAATTACCAAGGCAGACCTATTAAAAATACCTTCCATTAAAATAAAAGTGTGTTGTGGACAGTTTGTTGATACACTTCTTTGCACATGTTACTACTTTCAGATTAAGCACCAGGAAAAAAATCCTCCAATGAGAGTGAGACTTATCTCACCATCCCCTAACCTATTAATGGAGACCTGAGATTGTAGGGTCAGTCCAACCTGGAATCTGGAAATAAGTCATTGAGACACCTGAACATCCAACAACAGCAGTTCTAAAGAAGATCTTTGCCATTTTCCTTATTTTAATCCTTCTCATTGTAATGTTTGCTGCCATTGCTGTGCTGATTTGTGATATTGCAGCTGATCCCTGGGCAGCAGTTGCACTTGGTTGTGGTGCCTCCCTTCATTGTTTAGTGTGATCCAAGTTGACACTGGAGGAAGGCCATTTGGATAATAGTAGAGTAATATCTGGCTGATGGACTTTAGAAACCAAGGAAGAAATGGAGAGGGAGGGAAAGGAGTGTTTTAAATAGCAGAGTTTCTGATCCTGAATAATGTCAGAATCGACGCAAATCATGTTCATGAATTTACCATCAAAAAGAGTTAACAGCTGGGCTGCATATATATAAACTTCGCCTGGTGCTAATGAACTGCTTTATACGTCAATTCCACCTCTTCCTCTGCACTTCTCTCAGTTGATTACACATGGGCTGAGTCAGTGGAAGTGACTTCAAACAGCTCTGTGTTAACTCATTCCTGTTGAAAATGCAAAGTTGCAGATTTTTGGCATGAAGAATAAAAAAGATTAATATCATTAAATAGTGAAAGATTGCAGAACACTGGGATTAAGGTGTCCTCGTGAATGACTTCCAAAAGGTTAGTATTCAGGTACAGCAAATGATTAGGAACACTAATAGAATGTTATTTAGTGCAAGGAACTGAATACAAAATTAGGGAGGCTGTGCTTCAATTATACAGAGCACTGGTAAGACAGTATCAAGGGTAGTATGCACATTATTGTGCACATTGTTGTCTCCTGATTTAAGGATTTAAGTGCATTGGAGACAGTTTGGAAAAGCTTTACTAGATAACAATGGACAGGTTGGACAGATTAAGCTTGTATCCACTGGCATACAGGGCTTTTGTGCTGTAGTGATAGTGTCCCTGTCCCTAAGCCAGGAGGCTTAGGTTCAAGTCTCACCTATTCCAGAGGTGTGTAACAACATCTCTGATTAGAGAATATATGATCCTGCTTGAGTTCGGAAGAGTAAAAGGTGACTTAATTGAAACCAATCAAGATCTTGAAGGATCTTATAGAGAATATAGAACAACAGGTACGCTGTAAAAATCAGTGGTCATTTAAAACAGAGAAGACGTGAATTTTTTTTATCAGCGATTGAGAGCCCTTGGAACTCTTCTGAAAAGGTGGTGGAAGCAGTGTCCTTGAATATTTTTGAGGCAGAGCTAGATACATTCTTGCGAAGTGAGAGGGTTAAAAGTTATCAAGTATAGGTGGTAATCATAGACTTGAAGTTATAATCAGATCAGCCATTTTATTGAATGGTGGAGCAGGTCTGAGGGGCTGAATGGCCTACTGCTGCTGCTAATTCATGTGTTTGTAAGCTCTCAGCATTATCAGAGACCTGGGCCAAAGCCAAAGACTACACAACACAGTAAATTGCGGCTTGAATCAATTCTGTTGTGGCTTACTTTGCAAAAGTTGTGTTTTGATATTGTATAAAATCTGATAGGCACAGCAGAGGAAGATTATTCAGCCCATCATGCCTATGCTAGCTCTTGGAAAGGGCTATCCACTTAATCTTTCCCCAAAGGCCTGTGAATTTCTCCTTTATGTGTTTATTTTATTTCTCTCTACTTCCACCATTTCAAGTTTGCATTTCAGATCAGAACAACCTGTTTTTTAAATTTTCTCCTCATCCCCACTCTGGTTCTACTATGAACTATCTTAAATCTATGTACTCTGTTATTGACCCTCCTGTGTCTGGAAAGTTTTTCCTTAGTTAATGGATCAAAAACTTTATGATTTTGAACACCTCTATCAAATGACTGCTTAATATTTTCAACTTTCAACACTGCTTTTATGTTGTCTTTATCAAAATAGTCGGTGACTGGAGACATAACACTTTCTTATCAATGCTAGACAGTGATCACATATTCAAGGAGGCTCAAGCAGGACCTCCGTCCAGCACCCCCCACCACCCACCCAGTTAAACCAATCCACATCTTGAAGAGGTACCATTGACCAGAACAGGAACAACCATATTAATATCATGGCTACTACAGCAGGTCAGAGCAGCATCTGGCTCAACCCAAGTTTCCAAATCCTCTTCACAACCTAAAAGACTCAGGTCGGGGTTGACTGGACTCTCCCCACCTGGCCAGCTAGTTACAACCACACAGGAAAAGCTCAACACCATTTACTCCCCATATTTTCCACATCAATCTCAGAGGTTGTCAGCTTTTTAAACACGCTTGGAACAATTTGTCTTATGGAATGGTGTTCATTTAGATTTGGACTCAGACTGGACAACTCTCCTCACTTAGGCTTGGTTTACAATATATTGCCTGCTTCCATTATACTGTGCTTTTACTTCAGATATGGAGAATCTGCAGAATTATATAATTTCTTGTGTCTTTCTTACGTTTCACATCTTTAAACAGAACTGAGGTTGAGTGAAGAGCATCAAGTTCCTTGGAGTGACGATGACTGACCACCTGTCCTGGACTTCCCATGTAGATGCGACAGTCAAGAAGGCACAACAATGCCTCTTCTTCCTTAAACGGCTCAGGTAGTTTGGAATGTCCATAAGGTCCCTCACCAACTTCTACAGATGCACCATTGAAAGCATACTGTCCGGATGCATAACGGCCAGGTATGGCAACTGTTCTGCCCAGGACCGTAGGAAACTACAGAAGGTGGTGTGCACAGCCCAGACCATCACGGAAGCCAACCTTCCATCCATGGACCCCATTTACACGGCTCACTGCTGCGAAAAGGTGGCCAACTTCATCAAAGACCCATCACACCCTGCTAATGACCTCCTACAATCTCTTCCGTCAGGCAGCAGATACAGAAGCCTGAACACATGCTCAAACAGGTTCAGGAACAGCTTCCTTCCGGCCATTATCAGACTGTTGAATAGACTCTAGCCTCAAATAATCTAACCTGCAATGTAACTTGTATGCCTCTAAGTCTTTTTGATCTGTACATCCTTTACTTGCTATGATCTACCTGTACCGCTCGTAAACAAAGCTTTTCACTGCATTTCGTATACGTGTCAATAAAATCAAAAGCAACTTTTGAATTTCCCCAATCCTCAAAACTTTAACTCAATAGATCTCTTTAATAGCTCTTGACTGAATCATAGAAACAGCCCTTCGAGCCTGCTTCCCCATTCAATATGATCATGGCTGACAATCTAACTCTGTACCCTGTTCCCGCTTTCTTCCCATACCCTTTGATCCCTTTAGCCCTAAGAACTGTATCTAACTCCTTCTTGAAAATATTCAATGTTTTGGCCCTAATCACGTTTTGGGGCAGAGAATTCCACAGGCTCACTGTCTGGGTGAAGAAATTTCTCCTCCTAAATGGCCTGCCTGTATCTTTAGACTGTGGCCCCTGAATCCCATATATCTATCACATCCTTGCTCTAATTTAGATTCCTTCACAACCATGACCTCAACTGTTTGCTCAGAGTTACTTGGTTCTGACTAATCCTCTGTGGCAAGATGCTCAGAGCCTGACTTCTCATCCAGTCTGGAGCTTTATCCAATAAAGATCCCACCCTGGTTTGTGACTTTGTGAAGCTGTTATTTGTTGATTACTTGTCTATTTAAGGTAGATTATCTGTATTTGGATGTTATTTCAACTCTTTCCTTCTTTAGTTGTTCATGTGACTCCAGATCCACGTCAATGTGATTGACACTTAACCTCCCTCTGGGCAGTGAATACTGGCCTAGCCGGCAATGTCCACATCATATAAAAAGAATTCTAACAAAACACACCAAGCACTCTGAACACTAACACTTAGCAGCTTCAGGCTCTTAAAACAAAGATTTGTACCACTTCATCAATAGTTACTGCTGATCTCAACTTCCAATCTTTGCACTGTTTACTATCCAACATTCATGTTCTTGTGGACCCAGATTTCATATCAATATTTGACTCCTCCTCAATTTTTAAAACCTTGCAAATTAAACAGATTCAGGCTTTTGATGCAGATTCAGGATCTATTTATTTGTATTTTTCGTTATATTTGAAACACACAGGAGTACAAAAATATATATGATAACCTGGAAACAATCAACAGGGATTATTCAGTGTAAACTAGTCTTCCAGTGTCTCTGTCAGGTCTCGGAGGGTCAGTGTGCAGTGAGAGGCAGTAACCAGCACAAGTCCAATGTAAGCCCCAGCCTATGATGATAGCCACGCTTAGCCAAGGAGTTCTGATGAAGAGTCACCGAACTCAAAACATTAACTAAAAACTGAAAGAACTGCAGATGCTGTTCTAAGGAAGGGTCATCAGACCCGAAACGTTAACTCTGGTTTCTCTTCATAGATGCTGCCAGCCTGCTGAGATTTTCCGGCAACTTCTGTTTTTGTTTCAAAATGTTAACTGTTCTTCTCTCCACAGATACTGCCAGACTGTTAAGTTTTGCCAGCAATTTCTGTTCTTGTTTCAAATATTCAGCATCTGCAGTTCTTTGTTTTATTTCAGTCATGGATGAAAAACACACTCCTGCCTTAAAATAACTTCAAAATAACACTTAAAAAGAAAGTTTCTCAGCCGTGTCACAGAAAGCTATAACTGCCTTCAATCACAAACTGCTTTGAGTAAAATGCAAAGTGGTCAGTAAAACCAACTAGAAATGACACTGAATTCAAACACCAGCTTCAAAGAAATAGGCCAGGCCATAAAATGAGACGTTGAACTGTAAGAGTGCCAGGGTTGCTGTCTGACTGTCCATTAGGTAGTGATAGAATTAGTGAACATATGCTACATCTCAACCATCTGCTCACATTTAGGTGGGAAGCAAAGTGTCGCCTCATTATTTGGAGTGCATCTCATCAAGATGTTTAAAATCTCCTGATAAGTCAATCTCAGTGAGTCATTATTCTGTGTTTTCACAGTCACTGACCCACTCGTACCAATCACAGCCTGCGAAGCTCAGCATTACATATCAACATCACACTGTCTACAACACAAAGAAACTCCTAAAATAAGTTAGACACTCGCCATTTAAAAGTAAGAAAATTGTAGTTGCAGGGACTAAACTAGAAGCCAGTGTTTGAAGGGTAATGCATCACATTGTACACGGGTTATGATGGATTAGATAACAAGGCTTCACACACACACACACACATCATCCCTTCCCTCCATGGAGCTTTCACAAAATGTGCACAGGCTCATGGTATAAATTGCTTTCACTGAAAAGTTTTGTAATTTTAATAATTAAATATTTAGAAATTACCCAGAGTTCCAAACTGTTCAAACACTTCCGTCAAAAACCAAAAAAACAGCAAATAAATTTTCAATACAAGTAACTGAGGTCAAAGTTGAATTGAAGAGGGGTTTGTATTTTTTTTTAACAGCCAGGTATTTTCCTCTCACTTCATTCAGTCTCTGATTACAATTCCAAAAAATATACATATTAGACACAGTTAATTCTTGCTTGGATTTGATTCTCTCTGTCTGTTTCTCCTTACAGTGCTACATCACTGGCTGAACAGCTGTGAAGTACAAAGGAGCTGATAATCTTTCCTTGGGCTAACCACTAGGCCCAGTGGTGAGGTAACTGATTCAGTGAAAACTGACACTGGAAGGATATCCACTCTTGCTTAATCACAGAATCTTGCCCAAGGAAAATTCTGTTAATTCAAAGATCAGGTTCAGCTGAGTCAGTTCCTTAGCACTGACAGCTGAAATAGACCAAGAGAAAGTAAAATGCATGTTAAAATCCTGTAGACACTCAATCTCTTTGCCCCATTTTGTCCCTCACCATTCTCCAGCCACGGCCAGAGAAACACCCTGTTGGCCTACCTGCAGCGTGCTTTTCCAGCAACTTCTGTTTGTGTTTCTCCTCAGACTGGGCAACAGCAGAAACCTTGACTATCATCTGGGGGATGAAATGGGGAACTGCCTGGGATCACTGTCTCCCTGACAATGGTATGCAAACATTTCGACACCAATCCATGACTTACATTTTGACCAGATGTACAAGGATTAGTTACCAAAAGCCACTATCCTAGAGACGTCTAGACAGTTCTGGGTGAGATCTACATGCTCAATTACCAACCCCGCTCCTCCCTCCTCCCCCCACCCCACACCCCCCACCCCCACCAACCAACTCTCCAAACTGGCAATGCAACTAATAGCAAGAAATATGAAAACAAGAGGCCTCTCTAAAATTAGAATCCATTTCCCTATCTGGTGTCAGTTACTGTGGTGCTTTACATAGCTGAGTGATCAGAATTGTAGCTTGGACTCAGTAGCGATGGTGGTTGGATTGCCAGTGTGAATTAGAGCCTTGACTATAAGATTCATATGGCCCCTGGTGCTGAACTGAAGAGTGACTGTACCCATGGACTCTCCCACGCCACTGACGCTCATTGGACCAGTTGCGACTGTCATCCTGTCTTCTGTATGGTTGAAAATCTCGTGACCTAGAAATAAAAACAAAAAATCTCAAACTGATGTTTGATTCTGACTTTACCGACTGTGGAATGATTTAATTATTTCATGTAGGACCGCAAAAGAAGAAAATTTGCAAATGCTGTACTTGTATTAATTTATCTAAGTCTTACATATGACAATCATTACTCCCAAAGTTATTGTTGCCGATTCAATATCATAGAACATAGAACAGTACAATATCACCCAAGTTATTCCTTGCTTGTGACCAGATTCATCTCTGAGATATACATGAGCAGATTGAGAATGGAGAGTTCTGCACACATTTGTGAAATAATTCCCCTGGTCAATCTCAAACTATAATCACTGTCTGAGCCTACTCTATAACCCAGTCCCTGATTTCAGTAGGTATTTCCTCTTCCACCAATGTTGTTACAAGTTCTTTTTACCTATTCTGTATCTTATATAAAATAATCATATGTGGTTATGCTTAAATCCCATTCCTGATGAGATGCTGCTGGTACTGTTAAATCTATATCTTCCTCTGAAACAATAGTTTCTAATTCCCTAACTATTTCCAACATACTCAGTAGTGTAATAGAAACAAAATAATTACTAGCAAGGGTAGCCATTTGGCCTGTCAAGCCTGCTCCAACATTTATAAGATCAAATCCCGAATCTGTAGTGTTGCATATTTGTGTTTATTGAAAGACCACCTGGTTAAAACCAAAACAAAAATGTCAATTAAATCAGATTACTGGCTGGGATCTGATTTACTCAATCGGCTGGAATTCTAACATTCTGATACCTCTAGACTCCTTTGCAGATCAAAAATTTGATAACTCAGACTCAGAGATTCTCAGTATGTTCATATAAAGTCTCGACAAAGGTCTGCAGTTGCTCTTTACCTGCGGTTACCACCAGTTCGGATTCTCCAGTCCTCTACAATCGGTGGTGGATCAGGTGGTGACTTCAACACTTCCTGATACTCTTTGTCAGCTGTAGTGAATCGATGAGCAAACATTTCCTCATACTTGGGAACAGTTTCTGCTTCACTAGTCATTCTGGGAAACGAGAGAAGAGAAAATGAGCAAGAGAACTTCAGAAGCAGGTTCCATTTACCTTAAAATGAGACCTTCCATACACTAAAGGTGGACAAAGAGATTCTTTCAATACTCAGCCACGGAAAACCTAACTTCCAATTTCAAGCAAATTTCAAACAGCTAAGAGTCTGCCAAATAGCTCCAAAATAATAGGTTGAAGGTAACCAGGAAGGGTTTCCAGACTGGCTAATAAAATCAAAATACGGCAGATCCGGAGATCTGAAATATAAGCAGAAAATACGGGTGAAACTCAACAGGTCTTGCAGCACCTGCAGAAAGCAACAGAGTTAAAGTTTGGACTCTGATGTGACTCTTTGCTGAAATTCTGAGTTCCAAAGAATTGAATAATATTGGACACTAAACATGAAATCCATTTCTGTCTTCACAGATGCAGCCAGACCAACAAAATTTCTCCAGCTCATTTCATTCTCAAACCGGAACCAAAACTGATGTTTGCTATGAGGCAATGACACACATAAGGAAAGGATCAACCAAGACAGTAAAAGATAAGAGAATGAAAACACACTGGCATTTCAAGAGAACAACAAAACCACTGTGTTCAGAAAGAAACTTCATATCCAACTCAATCTGGTTAGACCTTAAATAGTTATGTTTTACTTTTATTCATTAACAGGATGAGGGCATCGCTGGCTAGGCAGCATTTATTGTCCATCCCTAATTGCCCAGAGGGCAGGTCAGAATCAGCCACATTGCTGTGGGTCTGGAGTCACACATAGGCCAGACCAGGTAAGGATGGCAGTTTCTTTCCCTAAAGGACATTAGTGAACCAGATGTTTTTTTTTCCAACAATGGATTCATAGTCATCATTGGATTGTTAATTCCATTTGTTTTATTGAATTCGAATTCTACCATCTGGCTGTGGCGGGATTTAAACCTGGCTCCCCAGAATGTTATCTGAGTCTCTGTATTAACAGTCCAGTGATAATACCACTAGGCCATCGCCTCCCCACTGTGCCTCTTGGATGTGATCTGGTGGGTGATAATTCCCTTCTGGAATTAAAGTCATGGCTTTAAGTCCATCCACAGAGAATTCAACACGAATTATTGACAAAAAATTCAACGTGGGACTGAAGGTCACGACTGGCAGAGTACTCAATTGTACTGTCGGAGGGTCAGCGCTGAGGGAGCGCCGCGCTGTCGGAGGGTC